TTCGATTATTTCTTTCTTCAAAGATATTCGATCGTTGGATAGATAATTGAATTTATTCGGAGGAGAGGGATTAGATTCTTCTATCATTTTATAATAGAACAATTTAATTATGGATTAATCAGATCTTCTCTAGAGAGGAAAATTTGTAAATAATGGATTGGAAAAAAAGTTTGATAAGTCAAAAGAAAAGTTTGGAAAAATTCTAATATAAAACTTTCTATTTTTTTTACAATCACATTTTTTTTCAAAAATTTGCAATATTGTGATTATACAATATATTAATAATTTATGACACATATAGAAAAGAAAGTTTTATCAATAAATAAAATTTGTCTAAGAATGACAATCAATGCATTCTGTGCAATGATGTAATACCAGTATATTTGTTATATCTAATTAGCATGGTTAAAAGAGCAAGAAAAGGAAGAAAAGATATCATCTTGATGATTAGCACTATTTGGCTAGTGTCAATATTACGTGTGAACTCTTGTTTCACGAAAAGTGTAAAATTTGTAGAAGATGAGGAAACAAACTATATTTTTATCGTAAATAGTAGCAAGATACACAAAACGATAGAGAAATACTCGGAAGAACCCTAATATAAAACTTTTATTATCCAACAAACAACCTTTTTTCGTTAACATCTTTCCTTCTTCACTCAATATTATAATGATTTATCGATTATTCTTACAATTACAAATACAAATTTTAGTTTTCATTCGTGTGGATAAATGATATGTACACGTAAAATGTTAGAGACTAGCTTCTTTTTTAAGTAGTAAGATTTTCAATTTCTTAATAATTTAATAATTTCTCTAAGTTTTCATACTTTGGAGTTTATTTCAGATGAAAGATACATTTCTTTTGTTTTAATTAATCTTGAATCGCTAATTTTTAAAGAATATTATGAAAATTCAAAAGTTTATTTAATATCTAATCTTCTCCAATTAAATAAGAGAAAAAAAGCAATCGAAACAAAATTGTTCTATTATCTTTAAAAATTTTCTATCTAAATTCGCACCTTCCTAAAAAGAATCACAAAAATTACAAAAATCATAAAAAAATAATTATTACATTACGAACCAACAATATAATTAATCTATTCTTTTCTCTTAATTGCAAAATATAACAAAATAAGAGCAAAAAATCGGTCATCTTCTTTGCCACGATACTTTCATCAAAAGATTATACACTTTATCACGTAACAATACGAGAAGCGTGAGTTTCGAGAAAACAATTCGAGAAAAAATCACCAGATAGCCCGATCACAGGTAGGGGATCTTTTACCGATTTACGAGCTGAATGTCAAACTCATAGGATCATCGAATCCCTCACAATGGGCGGTCGTGTTTTTCGTTGCATCCACCAGGATCGACCACACCTTCTACCTGCGTTTATAATCCGGAAGCATTCGCGAGAGCGCACGCACCAACGTTCGAAACATTAAAAAGATACCTTGTGTATCGACACCTTTCGAGGATACACATAGAGAAATACTTATGTATGATCCCTTTTATCGTATTTTATTAGATCTACGTGTGCTACGTGTGAGATAAATGAAAAGAGAACGTATAAGTGATCTGTATTTGTATAGGTATCTTAAATATTATTTTAATACTATTTTAATAGTAAAAAAATATAAATAGGACTCTTTAATATGTTAATTATTAAGATTTGAATCTAAATATGAAATAAGGGATTGAAATAGTAGATGATATATCTATTTAACGAATATTTAATTATTAAGATTTTTATTTGAATCTAAATATGAAATAAGGTATTGAAATAGTAGATGATATATCTATTTAACGAATATTTAATTATTAAGATTTCTATTTGAATCTAAATATGAAAGGCATTGAAATAGTAGATGATATATCTATTTAACGAATATTTAATTATTAAGATTTCTATTTGAATATATATTCTATATTCTATAATTTATTTCTATATTTATTCTATATTTATTAAGATTTCTAAATATAAAATAAGAGATTGAAATAATAGATGATATATCTATTTAATTATAATATAATTATTAGTGTTATTCATTGAGCGGTTATAAAAGAATATGTTATAGTAATTGGAATATTTTTGTATTTTGTTATTTAGCAATAAATATATGTATTTTTTTTTCTCTCGTTTTCAGAAATTTCGATTCTTTTATTCACCCGTTGCTTGTCACTTATTTTTCGTTTATTACTTTCGAATTCATATATGCGGTTTGACCTCTCATTTCAAATCGATGAATATTATATGATTTAGCCCGAGTTGAAGAAGACCGATCTCTTGAATAAATCATGCATCTGCAACTTCTACATTGAACTGAATCGCACAACGTTTGTCACGCGAACGAGTTGAAAATGCCATTGATTTATGTGCCCGAAATAATTTTTCGATATAGTGAATTGCATAAATAGATATATACTTTATCTTTAAGAGTTCCTCGTGTTGCTGGAATCTAATAGGAATAAATTGTATTTATGTCAATTTGGAATTAATTTAAGTATGAGGATATAAAGTAACAATGGAGAGAATCAATATGTAATATTGTTCCTTATAAAGAGAAATTGTAAGAAAGTTAAAGTTAAGTGAGATAAAAATAAAGAAAATTATTTTTTACAAGAAATATTTTTAATAGAAATAGAGATGATCAAATTCACGAATGATTATAATTTTCTTCTTTTTCATTCGAAAATAACATTGCAATTAAAGATAAAATATAAATTCATTAAAATTTTATTTTCACAAGGTGAAAGAAAGTTCTTCTCCAATTGAAAGAAAAGAAAATAATCGAATTCGTGAATATTTACAATTTTCGTGGCAAAATATTTCATTTGAAAACAACATTGCAATTAAAGATAAAATCTATTAAAATTCTATTTTTACTAGGTAAAAGAAAACTCTTCTCCAATTGAAAGAAAAGAAAATAATCGAATTCGTGAATATTTACAATTTTCGTGGCAAAATATTTCATTCGAAAATAACATTGTAACAAGATAAAATTCTATTTTTCAAAGATGAACTTTTCAAAACTTGAAAGAAAAGAAAATAATCGAATTCGTGAATATTTACAATTTTCGTGGCAAAATATTTCATTCGAAAATAACATTGTAACAAGATAAAATTCTATTTTTCAAAAGTGAACTTTTCAAAACTTGAAAGAAAAGAAAATTATTTTTATACTTTTTAATAGAAACGATCAAATTGATGAATATTTACAATTTTTTTCTTTTCGAGACAAAATATTTCATTCACAATATATTACATTCATATTTTTTTCATTGAAAGAAAAAAAAATAATCAAATTCGTGAATATTTACAATTTTCATGGCAAAAAAAAATATTTCATTCGAAAACAATATTGCAACAAGATAAAATTCTATTTTTCAGAGGTGAACTTTTCAAAGCTTGAAAGAAAAGAAAATTATTTTTACAGAAACGATCAAATTGGTGAATATTTACAATTTTCTTCTTTTCGAGACAAAATATTTAATTCGAAAACAATTATTGCAATTAAAAGATAAAATTCATTAAAATTCTATT